TATATATAGAGAGAGAGAGGCTTAAGTGCTCACCCAACGTTAAAAGCAGTGACGTTTTAGTGATGGAACATCTCAATTTCTTTATTCTTAATAATGCAAAACTCTGTGACCATGCCTGGTGCAAAGTAAAGGTAAGAGACGTCACAAGACCATCCACACCACTAATTGAGATACCCCATCCATTATTGTGGAAACAATTAATACCTAAAAATTAAACCTTACCAAATTTTCACAAACAAACAAATTTAATAATTGAAAAACTGTTTGCAATCTTAATTATATTAAATTATAAAATAATTATTTTTAAATTAAAAAAGTATCATGCATTTGGACCTTCGAATCAAATATCGTCAGGATACGTATAAATGTATTTTCTCATTCATAAGGACAACTGTTCAAATTCAACCCATTGCGAGTTTGTTCAAAAATAAAAATTAAGAAAGTATCATGATATTGGCTCTCTTCATTCAAGACCTCTCATATTGTAATTTGATATCATTTAAATTATTAAATAAAAGAAAAAGTTTCAATATCAAAAAATCTAATTTTATTTAATCATAATATAATATAATTTGATATCATTTAAATTATTAAATAAGATTAAATTCTTGATATTAGAAAATTTTAATTTAAATTATAAAATAATTATTTTTAAATTAAAAAAGTATCATGCATTTGAACCTTCGAATCAAATAACGTCAGGACATATATAAATGTATTTTCTCATGGAGTACCCCTTGTACTCAATTTTTTTCTTCATCAATGAATTATCCAATTGCTGTTCAAAAAAAAAAAAATGTATTTTCTCATTCATCAGGACAACTGTTTAAATTAGACCCACTGCGAATTTGTTCAAAAACAAAAATTAAGAAAGTATCATGATATTGGCTCTCTTCATTCAAGACCTCTCATACTGTAATTTGATATCATTTAAATTATTAAATAAGATTTAAATAATTTAATAATAATTTTTTATTAAAAATAAGATAAAAAATAAAAAATAATTAACTCATATATATATAGA